AGTGTTTAAACCGTCTCCTAAAAAATTCAATGTTGATTTCTGGGTCCCTACTGGTTACATTGATCTCTATGTATGTTTGCGTGTTTCAGCCTGGATATATTAGGGAAGAGAATGTGAAAGATATTACGCAATTGATAATAACTTATTACTTTTATCTATCGATCTACCGAATTGGGATGTATTTTCATTGTTATGAACATTGACGAGGAATGTGAAATCATCCAGCATTTCTGCACCAATACACTTTGGAAAGGCATGAACCCATCCCTTTTTTGCTCCCCCCGCCCCTAGCTAGTAGCATAGATGGGCCATCTTGAATTCTAAATTCCAAATCGTGGTGAGGGTAACGAGAAATGTTTCTACTATCTTTTCAAAGAAATCATAGAAATTCAATGATTACAAAAAAGAAAGCTGTGGAGAGCCGTAATTGCAAACATCCTAAAGGAACATGGCTTCTGTTGTAACGATCCAGTAAGCTCTCTTTCTCTCTCTCTCTCTCTTTCTCTTTCTCCTGTAGTCTCTTTCTATCTTTCTGTATCTTTCGCTTCTTTTACTGTTTCTCACGTTTTTCTTCTCTCTTTATCTATCTCTCCATTTCTCTCTCTTTCTCTTTTCTATATCTCTCCCCCCCACACACACTTTCGTTATTTTTCTCTTTTTCTCTCTTTCTGTCTCTCTATGTATTTCTCTATTCCTCTCCTTCACCCTCTCTCTGTGGTATTCGGGTAAATTTTGAACGTAAAATGTCTATATTATGATAGCTTTCGGCTTTCGTAAGACGTGATTAAAGAGTTTTATTTGGTACGGACTGAGTTTTGCCTAAACACACACCCAAACACACGAGCGCACACACACACACACACACACACACACACAACACACACACATACACACACAAACACATCAAACACACACGTGCGCACACACATACGCACACGAACGCACACACACACACACACACGTATATATATATATATATATATATATATATATATATATATATATATTTGAACATTCTGTTTCCTTTTCTAGTTGCGAGTGTTGCATCTTCAAATATCGTGCATTCACGCGTAACTTTGTAGTGCCGTGTGTGTCGAATTGTTCACTATTTATCAAATTTTGTTTAAAATATCGAAAATAAAAATCTTACCACATCTTCGGTTTCACGTACGGATTTTCAAGCAATAATATAACATTTATAAAACCCCACATACACACGCAAAAGTACACACACACACACACACACACACACACACACACACACACACACACATATTTATATATACGCACGAGTATTGGCAAACATTAATGTTTTCTGGAAATATCAAATGCAACTATTCGTACACACAAACACACACACACTCAAATTCTCACAAACAAGTACGCACACAAACACCGCCATATATATATATATATATATATATATATATATATATATATATATATATATGAGTGAAAATATATGAATCTTTATATACCAGAACCACGTTAGGAAAATTAATTATAAAGTGGAGACAAATTCTTTGAAGCTATTTGTCTGAATGTAATGCGTTGCACTATTTTTTTTTAACATTTTGCATTAATTTTACACATGCATACACACACGCACACACACACATGTATATACATCAGTATTGTGTATTTAGGCAGCAAACCCTCTTTTATACATGTTTCGCTAAAGACGAATGACTAGTTACTGCGATTAAGGTTTTATTTAATTATTCCTGTGTACGCAAAATTGTTTTATTTTCTGGATACAAAATATGTACAAAAGAGTCCAAAAGTTCTGAATGTCTTAGAGCTTTCGGCTATTCTTTTAGCCATTATCAAGAGCGATTTTAATTTTTTTTTCATTTTTAACTAAATAAGAGTTATATATATATATATATATATATATATATATATATATATATATATATAAAGTTTTAGGAATGTTATATTATCCGAATAAAGTCCGCATATTGTGACCATGTTCATAGTTTATGCTATTGGGTGTTGCATTTTCCTTTCTTATTATTATGGCTTCCATTATTTTTACTCTTCTTTTACATGTGGATGAGGCTATTATACTTGTATTTTCTTCTAGTATGTTTCAGATGAAGTCTGGTAGGTTTTTGTGTGTGACACCATGCATACTTAGCAAGCTGGAAGGAAATATTCATAAATATATGATTTATTTTTTTGCGGTTTGTCAACCATTTGATAATTATTTAGAGCTGAAAAATATTTGGGTTTTGAGAATAATTCTTTAATTGCGTTCAAGCGATCTGGGAGAAAGAAAGAGAAGAAGAAGAAAAAGAAAGAAAAAAAATATAATACGAAAACCAGGTCATAAGCGAACAAACACACGCACGATTGATACATAACAGATGTTGGAAGATATCCAGGTCAAGCACCTGACCTACTTCCGTGTCCACGAAAAATGGAAGTTTGTTATCAATTTGGTTGAAGAAATAAAGTTTAGAGACAATGGAACAAAATATGATAGGTAACAGGTGGGAAGTTTATCTAAGGATATGCAGGAAAACCATTAATACGAAAACACAGACCATTCCAGAATTGAAAATAAAGCCACACAAGATGATGTTGGCTGAAAATGTTCTTTTGAGATAATGAAAAATTTTATTATCAGGCCTTTGGCCGCGAAAGAAAAAGTGCAATATTTTTATTAGTTCACGAAAACGCCACCCAGTCTGAGAAATCCCTTTCTTAGATCGTATCCAATTAGCGATAAACTGTTTGACAAATACCGCGTGTAAAAAAACCGAGAGCGTCATTTCGGTCACGTACGATAAGGGCAATTTGAATTTTTATCTTTTTAAGCAAGGTGTTTCTTCCCCCAGAACAAAGCCACGGATTGTCCACGCCCGACTAAAGACGCCATTGGCTAGATGGGATCACGTGGCGCACGAAGGAGGAGGAAAAATACCCAACCAGGATCTCATTGGCCGAGAGCGGTCACGTGACGCACGAGGAGAATCGGTCGACGCCCTTGTCAGAGGTGTAAGTGTGAGGAGCCGATAAGAAGAAGCGGGGAAGCGGGTATACGCCCTCAGAAACACAATAAGGAAGTAGGAGTGAAAGTGAATTACCGAAAATGGAAAATCCCTAACCAGAAATAAGAAGGGTGGATACGTATTTAGAATTATCAAGAAAACCCTGGCGCCGACAGACCCACCCCAGTTTTTGACTGCGTCAATAAAAGCGGGACCCCAACCGACAGAAATCAGAGTTTGCGCCGCGGACGGCGAGAGAGATCAGCCGTGAACGACAAGCAGAGATCAGCGCCCAGTGTTGAAACCGCATCAAGATAGCTAACCAATATTCACGCACACTTCTAGACTCTTCTTCAACCAAGAACAAGTAGTTTGAAGAGCGACTTAGAATCAGACCACAAGAAAGTATTTTTCGACTTTCGTCCAAAGACACACCGAAACGCAAATTTCTAAAAGAGTAGACAGCTTGAAGCCTTAAGGTTGCCTAGTAAAAGCGTCGTGCCACAATCCACAGAACGGGTCGGGAGGTAGACATAGTCCTATGTACCGAGCAAATAGACATAAAAGTTTGTTACCTTTTTCTTGATACGTTGGACCTTGTGAGTTGTTATTTTATTTCTTTTTATTATACATAATTGTGTGTTATCACCCCCGTTAGACTCAACTTGCATTACGGCCCCAAGTCCTGTTTGATCTCGTCTGTCTAAGATCAAGTCACAACGTGGGCAGGCAGACCGGAGATCAGTGCAGTTACCCTGGTAACCAGGCGTTGGAAGCAGGTTGGGAACGACGAGGCTGGTATCAATCTAACCAAAGGGTTAGAACGTCACGTTTGGAGCAGCGAGGAGCGAACAGCTGACGCCGCGGCGAAGACGTCACAGTTGGTGCTGTCCGTGACCAGGATATCAGAGCCTGGGGAGCACGTGACGTCACAATTGGCGTCGCGAACAGGATCGAACGACACAGTCGACGCCGCGACCGGGGGACGACATCACAGTGTGTGTCCTAATAAAGCCGTAATCGGTTAAATGTAACGTGAGTCGTCTAGATAGGCATGTAGTAGTATGACTAATGTAATTATTTGTGAGTTTGGTTTGATCAGGAACACACTTCCGTAAGGGTCATTTGAATTCGTAAATAATGCTGGTTCATTGTAGCTTTGATTTTGTCGAAAGCACTCAAGTATGAAGAAGTTTTGGACAGTTTTTATACACTTTGTATCCAGAAAAGAAAACACTTGTACGAACACAAAAATTGAATAATTAGCTTAAATGCAGTAACTTGTCAGTCGTCGTTAACCAATCATGTGTGTGTATACATATACATATACATAAAAAATAAAGAGGCTGGTGTCACAAATTTCTAAACAACTACATGGTTTTCCGCTTCGCAGTAATCCCCACTTAGATTTTCCATCCTTGTCTGTCACGCTTCTATGCACTGCTGGAAGGATTTTTCTAGATGTCTTTACGGCCTTCTAAATGAGTTCCACGCTTTAAAAATGCCTTGATGTCCTCCGACTGACACTCAAACTCTCTGAAATTTATGTACTGGAGCTTCCGAGGCGAATGCCAAGCAGTACAGCATTCCGTTTTCAAATTTATGGCGGAGTGAATTGAGTCATGGTGCTTTTTATTTTTTCTAACATACGGTGCCCAACTGACCCTACTATATTGTGCCGTAGATAAAATAAAAAAGAAAAAACGCGCATGCGTGAAATTAAGAATAAATATGGCGACAATATATTTTCAGATTTTCTCCGAAAACTATAGCAAGTCGATTCTGGGGTCTTTAGGGTCCTCTTACTCAGCTCTCCGGGAAAGTTTAGACGCTCATCTTCATCATGGAAGTCTTTATCGATCCTCGTCTCCGCTCCCCCACGACCATTCCTAGATAAGTCTCTCTTAAAAAATACCAAAATGTGCACAACAGATCGTTAGGTCATGAAACATGATTTAACTCCTCATTACAAATAAACGCGTTTATCTAACATGCCCCCCTCCAATGTCTCTCCGTATCGCACTTTCTTTTTATCTCTCTACACTCCCATCTCTCTGTCTCTGCCTCTCTCTCTCTCTCTCTCTCTCTCTCTCTCTCTTTCTCTCTTTCTCTTTCTCTTTCCCTCTCGGACGCTCAACACAGTCTGAGTCCCCATCTCTATGTAACAAATTACCGAATATAAGATTAAAAAAAAGAAAAAAATCTAATTTCAAAATGTCACTGACAGTTCAGTGTCACATTTCTCCTTCACATGATTTAATCGCTTACTGCAAACAATTCCCTTTATCTAAGATGTCCCTGCAATCACTCTCTGTGTTGAATTCACTCTTTTTTTCTCTACGTGCTCCTTCCTTCTTTTTTGCTCTCCATGCCTCCTCTCTCTCTCTTTATTTGTTTCACTCTCAGTATCTGTGATTCCAAGCATGACACACACAATGCACAGATAGAGACCTATTACTATATAGGTAATCAAACTATATAATAATTGTCAATGTGTATTTATTTATATAGTTCCGGTCCCATCTATAGTGGAAAGAGAAGTAAATCAATTTAAGTTAGTAAATTTATGAGTGATTACTTCCCTTAGTCTTTTTAATAATCTATACACTAAAATATTTATTTTCATTTAGACAGAATTAGTCCCCGAACAAAATGAAACGTTTCATTAATCAGTTCCTTTACGCCTACTTTTCTTTAATTGCAGTCTTATTTTGTCAAGCCTTTCATGTGAGACACTCAAATACCTTTTTCTTTTAAGTGATCGTTTTGCTTCAACTTGGTTTTGAAGTAGGCTTTCTTGTCGTCTTCTTTGTCTTTCTGATACTAGTTTTTATTCCGAGATATATTTCCATTTCACTGTTATATTAAACACATCATTTTTTTTAAAAAGAAAATATATTGAGAAAAACGCATTTATATGATACCAGGAGTAATCAATGAATTATAAATACCATTGAACGTGTAAACAACTATAAAGCGGAACGAATTTATCAAAAGGTTCATTGGCCTCTATTTTAGTTGTGACTTCTTTGTCTTCGTTTTATACAATCTGAATGTATAGTTTCAAGAATTTTGTTTCATTGCAGCTCACTTTTAAAATTTCAAACAATAGTCACAGTTTTTGAGGGCACGTGTACACTAATAATAATAATAATAATAATAATAGTGAGAAAAATTCATAAAGAAGTTAAACATATAAAAATAAACTTATATACCTTTTTATTGAATTGATTTTCATCATTAATGGGAAGGTCGTGATCAGTAACAAAGGTATTGATATTTGTTTGAAAACTCGACTTATTTATTAACTCCCATCTGATCCCAAGCATTTATCAGCCCGCTTTTGAAGCCTAATATATTTATCGATAGTCCCATCAACACCCAGGGGTCAATATCGATTAATTTAGACACAGCTGGTCTTTTTCCGAACAAATTGTGTTGTAGAGTGATGGGCAATCGAAAATAACTATTATAATATGAATTTCGTATGCATGATCCTAGAGAAAGTCGAAGATCAATTCGGAATGATCAATTTAGATAAGTTCAAGCCGTTCAACACGGTCAAACATCATCTCTGCGCGGCTATCATGTTTGCGGTCACCTGCTGTATATGACCCTGCCATCCGAAATGAAAGTGATTGTGCTAAATTATCCATGTTGTCCGGATCTAGTCCTCAATGTTAATAGTTTTCACCCGTGTTTACGCCCTTGTGTTTGAAACTTTCTTCCGGAAATTGAAAAGGAATTAGATCCTGCGTGGTATTAATATAGCTCGTGTTCCACATCAGCGATGTACTTCGACAATCCTGTCAAGAACATCTCTTCGCCTGTAACACACTATAGTAAAAATACTGTATAATAAAATTTATTTTTTTTTTTGTCTTTTGTCAGGATGTGTTATTTACTAATTGCTTCAGGCTAGAAAACAAAGGAAATTACTAATTATTCCCTTTGCTTTTATGACTTGGTCATCGATGTTTTAAAACTAATCTATTTACCATTACATTCTAGTTTCGGCGCTGAGTTGCTGAAGGAGAATTTTCTAGAACTTTTCAAGAAATTCAGAGAATTTTCTAACCATTTTAAGAATTTCTAGAATGTTCTGGCAGCATAGATGACAGTATAAAAACAGGAAACCTAAACAGTTCTGTTTACATCGTCGTTGACATCTGTTTGTGGGTTCTCTTGCTTAATAGGTCAGATCGGTTTGGAAACCGTGGTATTGCACTCAATTTGAATCTTGAGGTGTGAGATAATAAATAACAATATAAAATATTTTCCCCAATCTTTACTGTTTTTTGAGGAAACTAGTTTAAAGATAAAGTTTAGGTTCAAAATCGTAGCGTTGGAATTACATTCCGGTGACCAGTGAAAGCCTTATAGCGTAGTCTTATATAATTTATAATTTACTGAAACTTTACAAATTATATATAGACAAGATGCATGACACAAGCACATTATTAGTAAATCATTGTACCAAGAAAGAAGACATTCATTTACTTCAAAGGGAAATTATACTGAACAATTTAGCTATATGTAATATGTTATATATTGAAGTAGTTGTGATGTGATTTTCAATAAACAATGTAAAACATTTTTTCATGATTTGTGTTATGATGTTATAAACCCTTTTATCTATTTTTTGCTTTTATTAATTATGCATAAGAAATGGTTTGGTTTAGTTTGGTTTGGTTTGGTTTGGTTTGGTTTGTTTTACGGCGTATCAACGTCAATGGGTTATTCAATGCAGACAATATTTTTTCCAGATAATATTTTGTTTTGTCAAAAATCTATTTCTGGTAATAATTTCTTCCTTAAAAATGTATTGCTGGTAATATTATTTTAGAAAATGTATTGTTGGTATTTTTCTTTCAAAAAAGTATTATTGGTAATATCTTTTTTCAAAAATATGTTACTGTTAATATTTTTTTCCTTCAAAAATTTATTTCTGGTAATAATTTTTTACAAAATATTTCTGGTATTAAAACCTATTTTTACACTTTCATAATGCTTTTACCTCAGTTTCGGGGTTAACTATTTTGCCCATAGCTGGGACCCTAACAGCTACCACCCCGGATTAGGTTATACCTGGGAACACCAGTAATTAAGAGGTGGTTCCTGATCAGAGGCCTTGCTGTTGGACATAGTTTATCGCCTTACCCTGGACGTGAATAAGAAATGATTTAACAAATCTTATTCACTGCCTTTTTTTTACAATTCTTTTACACAGTTTTACGTACCGAATACTGTAGAAAATGTATACTTTGCTTGTGGAGATTTAAAGTAGAATTCTGGTTTGAATAGATTTTCCATTCAATGAATCTAATGCAAAAGATATTAGCTTTATTTGGATTTATTCTCAAATTAATAACATCTTGAAGCCATTCTGTAAACAAAAACCTGCATAAATTAGGTATTGTGCTATATTTTCCAGATGGTATTTAAAATTAACGCTCAAGAATTGATAAAGTCTATGAATATAAATCTTTGTATCCCTACATCAAACCCAGGCTTTTAAAACGAGTGCAATGTTGAAACAAATTGAAAATCAACCTTTCCTATTATGTAATCGTAGAATAAAGAATGCCTAGGTTTGAATCCTATGTTTTTTTGTTGCTACTTTGTGTGAACAAGAATGTTCTTGTGTAATCCTAGAATAAATAAATGCTACTTTTGAATCATATGTCGTTTTATTTCTACTTTGCGTGAACGAGAATGTTCTTGTGTAATCCTAGAAAAATAAATGCTACTTTTGAATCATATGTCATTTTTTTGCTACTTTGTGTGAACGAGAATGTTCTTGTGTAATCCTAGAATAAATAAATACTACTTTTGAATCATATGACTTATTGTTGCTACTTTGCATGAACAAGAATTTTCCCATTCGCCAGATTTCCCAATGGGAATAGATAAATATCAGTAATGTCATTATTCCGATTACAATAGCAAAATTGCAAGGAAATATTAACCATTTTTCATACTTTATAGACGTGCAAATAGAAAATAGGAGTTGCTACTCAAAGACAAAAATCGTGTTGCACTGTGTAATTGATATGTTCAGCAAAGATATCGTTTTATATGAGGGTCTTTATCGACCGCAATAAGTTGTAGCTGATCGTATGGCAGGATCGTCCTTTTCTTGGCTGCTTTATTTGGTTTCATGTGCCATATTCGGTGCCGCCCTCAGCCGTGGAAGAATTGTTAAGAGGTACTGCTGAAATGTTGAAGTTGCAGATTCCATGATACCTTAACGATGAAAGCAAACGTGCACGCTTTGTACGTCTAGCTGATTAACGTTTGTTGAAAATCTACTTCCTTTGTCGTGTAGCTTATATACAAATCTAGATACAGTACTGTTTCTACTATTTCAATTACAGCACTCGTAAAGTATTAATAAGAAATAAAATTTGTTTAGCAATAAAGAAAAGATCGCTGGAACTTTATGTAATATCGGTCTTCCTATATGGCAGTGAATGCTGGACAATCAACTCACTGAGGAAAGACTTGAGACAACAAAAATATACTGTGAATACCATGAACTTAACATGTGAGTAACGAGGAAGTTTTTAGAAAAAAAAGGAAACAAAAGAGACAGAATTTTTAGGATACATTATAAGGAAACCAGACATGGAGAATTTGGTATTCACAGGCCATATTAAAGTCAAGATGGACGGGGGACGCAGTGAATAGCATAAGAAACATGCTTGGGTAAATAGTTGGCAGAACAGAACAACAAAAGCATTTACGGGCGGCAAAAGTTCTGGAGAGCACTGATCTCCGACGTCCTGAGGGGACACAGCACATAAGACGATGCCTCGCGAGATCGCTTGTCTTTGACATTCAAGTCAATTTCGGATTACATAATATTGAGAATCTTCGGTATATCTAAGCTGACATATATGACGGGTATGTGCACAAAGTGACAAGAATGGCTGATACTGAAGAGAAAATATCAGTAAAGAATTTCTAGATTTTAGAAGTGGGTATTGTAATAAAGGGATGCGATACTATTTATATCGCGAATGTCGACACGATCGGATAATTACTTCTTGGGTGAAGGCTGGACCTCATGAAACATCTTCTCCGTCAAAAGAGGAACTACTGGATGTAAATATAAAATTGCCCAAATAGTATTACAGCA